TTAAAAGCATTAACTGAAAATGCAATCACGAAATCGAATGGTGTCGGTAATGGAGAAAGTACGTTCCGTGTTATGCCGGATTTGACACAGACTATAAGTGTCAAGTATGTATTTGATGACAACTGTGATAAATTAGCAACAAATTGGTTGACTAATATTAATACAATCAGCATTCTGCTGAAAGTTTTAAGTTACAACTTGCTAGACAAAAGTTAGTTGGACCTGCTAAAGGCTAGTATTTGAATAATTTGGACTATTTAATGTGCTAGACTTAGCGCATGGTTATCTCCAAATTCTCTTATCAGAAGAAGCAAAACCTAAAACTGCATTTATTACACTTGATGGTACAGTACAATTCACCCGTATGATGTTTGAGTTAACTAATGCACCATTTGAGTTTGCCAGAACGATGGACGATGATGATTATTTTATACCCGCCAACCTGTGAGGCAACTAATAGAAAAGTATAGGGAAAAGAACAATAAGCTATGTATGATATTTATAGATTTGGAAAAAGCGTATGATAGAGTACCGAGAGAGGTTTTAAAAAGAGCATTAATGAGAAAAGGAGTTCCGAGAAGGTACATTAATATAATAGAAGATATGTATTATGGCACTTTAACCAGGGTAAAAAGCGTAGGAGGAGTATCAGAAGGTTTTCGGGTTAGAGTAGGAGTGCACCAAGGTTCTGCTTTAAGCCCTTACTTATTCTCTATAGTGATGGATGAAATTACTAGAGAAATAAAAGGAGAGGTGCCGTGGTGCATGTTATTTGCTGACGTTATAGTGTTGATAGGATAAAATAGGGAGGAAATTAATTAAAGGCTAGAGGTGTGGAGATCAGCTCTTGTAGAAAAGCTTTTAATAATAAGTAGAAGTAAAACAGAGTATATAGAGTATGAATTTGACAAAGAAGAACACGAGGTAGGTGAAATGAGGAGGTCAGTGACAATAGGCGATGACGTATTTGGGGAGGTGGAAAGTTTTAATTATTTAGGGTAAGTTGTGCAAAAGAGTGGTGGTATTTACGAGGATGTAAGACACAGAATTAAGTGCAGATGGTTGAAGTGGAGAGAAGCGTCTGGCGTCTTATGCGATAAAAGAATTCCAATGAGGCTGAAAGGTAAATTCTACAAGACTGTAATAAGACCAGCTATGATGTATGGTTTAGAATGTTGGGCGGTTGATAAGAAAGTAGATCAGAGAATGAGTGTAGCAGTGATGAGAATGCTTAGATGGATGAGTGGAGTGACTAAAAAAGATAGAATAAGGAATGAGCATATAAGAGGGAGTATAGGTGTAGCGTTAATCGAAGATAAGATGAGAGAATATAGACTTAGATGGTTTGGTCATGTTATGAGGAGAGAGATCAATCGAAAGCTGTAAGAACAGTTATAAAAATAAATGTTGAAGGAAGAAGAGATAAAGAAAGACCAAAAACGAGATAGAGGGATGTTATTGAATGCAATATGAAGATGGCAGATGTGAGAATAGTTAATGTAGGAGATCTTGTCAAGTTTAAGATAAGGGTGGTCGACCCAGAGTAGCTGGGTGAGAAGGTGAGAAAAAGAAGAGAATATATTTCATAATATGTTTATTCATTTTTAAGATCATATTTAAGAATTGTGTATTATTTTTTTACATATTAATTTTAGTTAGGCCAATTACAGATTTTTTGAAGAATGACAATAAATTTCAATAGGGAGATAAATTAACAGGGGCATTTAGTATACTAAAGACAGTTCTAACATAACAACCTGTATTACGCCTGTTCGACTCAAATAAATATACAGAGTTGCATACAGATGTATCTAGTTTAATGCTAGCTGCTATTTTATTACAGCGTGGTGACAATAAAGACATGGACTTGATTTATTGTATTAGTAAGAAGACGAGAGAGGCAGAAATGAAATACTGTTCTAGATAATTAGAATTAATGGCCATTGTGTGGGCACTAGACAGATTTCGTTCGTAGTTGATTAGAATTCATACCACGGTAGTTACTGACTGCCAAGCACTTGTCTACATGAACGCTATGAGAACATCAAAGCCCCAAATCGCACAGTGGTTCGAACTGATTCAGGAATATGACATAAAGGTTCAACATAGACCTGGAACGATTATTGACCATGTGGACACGTTATGCCGTGCTCCAGTCGAAAACCCACTGATACGATGGATGATTTAATTGAAAAACGTCTGGGCGTAATTGTTACCCTGACAGATCAGGAGTATATCTGTTTCATACAACGGAGTGATACTGAGTTGTCAAGTCTAATTAGGGGCATAGAGAACAACACTAGTAATAAGAAAAATACACCAAGACAAGAGCGACGAAATGGAATTTTGTATAGAAAAGTATGTATTCGTGCAGAATACTCTACGCAAAGTATAGTCATACGTTTCCACGATTTAGTAACCAGACATATACGTTTCTGCCCCGAATGTACGCTTTACAAGGTACCTCGTGGTTTAGTTACATCCAGTTACACCAGGAGAACTTTTGTGTCAGCACACAGAATGCAAATCATCTAGGGCCATTTCCACGTTGCACTAAAGGGAATCAATATCTGTTAGTACACATAGATAGTCTAACAAAATGTGTTGAACTATACCCCTCACGGACTATTAATGCTAAGAAGGTAACCACACAACTATGTGATTTTATGTATACATGTAGTCGGTTGAGTCGACTTATTGCAGACCGAGGAAGTACATTCACGTCAAAGGATTTTGCGAGATTTTGTCAAGACGAAGCTATTCACTACCATTAAGTAGCCGTTCGTCATCCATAGGCCAACGGTTAAGTAGAACGGGCCAATGCTACAATTCTGTCAGTCATTTTTTTTTAAATACTGCGGTAATATAGACAATTAAAATCATTCATTTCTAATTTTTAAAGTATATATTTTGGAATTAGGTTTTATATGATAATAAGTTTCAATTAGAAAATTAAATATTACTTTGTTATTTATTAATTTTTGACACGGCACCGCCCATTGCGCTATGCTGGCACTCTCCCGTGTCTCTCTCGATATCAGTCGAATATTACCTGGTATTGTACTGACGTGATATAGAACTATACCTTTTGTGCGAAGGTGTATATGAAGTTTATAAATATATATACACGGACGTATACATAAGTAGGGTAATATAGAGAGAGCTGCCCCCCCCGCCTCACCCNGAGACGACGTTAAGATGAAGTGGTTGGTGTATCCGCTAAGAGTTGCCGACCAAGAACAACAGAATCATTTTGACCTATTGTATATTGGCGACTCTGAAAAATCACATTACGCGTACATTTCAGATTTTTCTAAGCTTGTTCGTAAACAAAAAACCAGACACCAAGGTCGCATATACACTTGCAAACGTTGCTTCACCTGCTTTGATGATCAGCCTAAAAAGCATATTCTTCGGGGTCAACAAGCGTTGGAGCAGCACAAGTAGATATGCGGTAAAAATAAACCAATTTTACCTGTTATGCCGGCAGAGGGCAGTAAGGTCGATTTTGAAGCGTGGGTACAGACGCAACGGTTACCGTTCGTCATCTACGCCGATTTTGAGGCCTTACTGAAGAAAACAGACGATCGTATGGGTGCATACACCAGGACTGTGCACACGCATCATCCCATGAGCTATGGGTTCATAGTGAAAACATCGGACGATGTAGCCTCCGAGCTCCTCGAACGCTACGGTATACCACAATCACCGGTGATATACCGTGGCTCCGAGGATCGTGAAGAGGTCGCTAGGGCATTCGTGATGGCTGTAACTGAAGTACGCGCAACATTTCTAAATTGTTGCGCAAAACCAACGTTCCCATCCGAATGTCTGTCGAAGATGTGCGCAGGCACGGGGAGAAAGTGGTATGCGACTTATGCCGTACAGCATTCAAGGATTCCAACCCTAAAGTCGCATCCACTGCCATTTATCGGGGCGATTCAGACAGACGTTGTGCAATGCATGTAACCTAAAAGTGAAGACGGTCAAATTTGTGCCGTGCTTCTTGCACAATCTATCAGGTTACGATGCGCATTTTATCGTCACTGAATTGGGGTACGACGACCAAAAGATTTCGGTCATACCGAATTTCGAGGAGAAGTATATTTCAGTCACGAAATACGTAACCAATTACTTTTTCATACGGTTCGTCGACACCTTCCGGTTCATGGCCTCCTCTCTGTCAACCTTGGCCGGTAACCTAATGACGCTTGATTTCGTTAAATTTCGGGAAACGGCCAAGGTGTTCCGCCCGGAAGACATGTCGTTGGTGACGCGTAAGAGCGTATACCCCTACGAGTACACTGATAGTTGGATTAAATTTGACGAAACGGAATCATCGCCTCAAGACGCTTTCTATAATCAGTTAAGTGAGTCGAATATCGATGATGATGACTATAGACAAGCCACGGAGGTGTGGAACCGTTTCGGCTGCTCAACCCTCGGTGAGTACAGCGACCTATACCTTAAGATCGACGTGTTGTTGTTAGCTGATGTGTTTGAGAACTTCCGCGACATCTGTATTTCAACATACAATTTGGACCCGGCGCATTATTACACCGCGCCTGGTTTTAGCTTCGATTGTATGTTGAAATACACCAGGATGAAGCTGGAGCTCTTGAACGACTATGACATGCTACTGATGGTGGAACAGGGCATTCGTGGTTGGTTAGTGCTGGCTGTCAAGCACTATGCAAAGGCCAACAATCCTAAGACACCCGATGACGATCCGTCAAAACCAGACTCATGGATCGTGTATCAAGACTGTAAGTAATCTATACGTATATATAAACGCGCAATTATTGAGCGGTGGTTTAAAAACGTTTAATGTATACAGGCAATAACCTTTACGGGTGGGCTATGAGTCAGCCAAAGCCGTACGGTGGCTTCCGGTGGCANGTTTAATGTATACAGGCAATAACCTTTACGGGTGGGCTATGAGTCAGCCCATGCCGTACGGTGGCTTCCGGTGGTATAAAGGAACAGACCCTCTGGCTGACCTCCAATCGTTGTCGGACACTGGTAATACGGGGCGTATATATGAAGTGGATGTTTCGTATCCACAAGAGCTGCATGACGAGCACAACGACTTGCCGTTCTTGCCTGGCAACGATGTACCACCGGGTTCCAAAGAGACCAAACTCATGGCTACTTTGAAACCCAAACAGCGGTATGTCGTACAATATGTCAACTTAAAACATGCAATCGCACACGGACTGCAAGTCGATAAATTATGTGTAATTAACCTATAAACTATAAGCGATGATACTAATATAAATATTTGTACTGCAGGTGCACCGCGTTTTAGAGTTTCAACAAAGTGCTTGGTTGAAACCATACATTGAGTTGAACACTGAAATGCGGAAACAGGCGGCAAATGCTTTTGAAATAGCATTTTTCAAACTAATGAATAATGCCGTCTTTGGTAAGTACATGCTCAATGCTAAAGTGGGTTATTTGATAAATTTTTACATTTTATAGGAAAAACCATGGAGAACATGCGGAAGCGTACCCGTATTGAGCTAATCTCCAGTTCCAAACGTCTAAGCAAGCTCGTAAACCAACCAACCTTCAACGACTGTATCAAATACGGTGAAAGGTTGTGCGCTGTCATAATGGACACAAAGATTGTCAAGTTTATCAAACCAATATACATCGGTTTAGCAGTGCTTGACATTAGCAAGACGCTAATGTACAAGTACTTCTACAACGTATTAAAACCACATTTTGGCAACGCAATCGAATTGGTTTACATGGATACTGGTGAGTACAACCGTACAAAATAGAAATATTTTAGAATTTAGAAATTATTTAGTAGAAATGTTTTTTATAATATTTATATATTTTTCATTTTTCTCAGACTCCTTCATATACCTGCTCAAAGTCGGCGACTTCTACCAGGATTTAGCTGATAGCCCCGATTTACTGGAGCACGTGGACACATCTAGCCTGCCCAAGGATCACCCTTGTTACTCCATCGATAGAAAGAAGATACCCGGCCTGTTTTCAGACAAGACCGGTGGCCTCACCCTCTTTGAGATTGCTGGACTTCGATCAAAGTGCTACGCATATGACATGGATGGCAGCGAACTCAACAAGTCTAAGGGGATTCGCGGGCACGTCGTCAGGAACCATCTGTCTTTGAATGATTACAAACAATGTTTGTTCGAAGACGATGGCGATGGCGAGTCAAAACGAGCATTGGCTGGAGAGAATTCCCGTGTGGTCATCGGAGCTGTACGCGATGGTGAGACACTACCGACATTATCGCTGCCATACACTCCGTACCGACAGAACGTGTCAATCCGTTCGTTCGAGCACGAAGTAAGCACTTTACGTACAACCAAGTTGGCGCTTAACCGTTTCAACGATAAACGCTATACGCTCGAAAACAGAATCGACACGTTGGCTCACGGGCATTATGCTATACCACCACCACCACCACCACAGGGAGGTTAATACAAATATAGTAGTATTTAAGTGATTCTCGTTGGAAAAAAAAATATTGTTAAAATTAAATATTGAAATCATAATTTGTAAAAAATATGTGTACTAGTATAAATAGTTTTAAGATTTTTTTTGTTAAATAATTGTAAATAAATGTTAGTAATACACATGTAATCGTATATAGTTTTAAAATGTAACATAATATAAAAAAAATTGTAAATATACTTATATTTTTAATTATTAAATAAAAAAAACCTCGTGTTGTATTTGTAATTGATTATTTATTTAACTAAATGTTTATATAATAATGAAAAAATGTTCTATTATAATAAATATTAAAAAAAAAATTATGGATGCTTTATATAATATCGATTGAATCTATCCATTTATTATGTGAATTATCCAAACCAACAAATTTGACAAAACATTTCTCTTTATTCTTCTTAATGATTTTTCCACTAAATAAACTTCTGGAAACTGAGTCTTGCTAAGTTCGTGCTCATAGAAACAACCATTTATAGGTCTGTTGTTTTCATCTGTCAGCTCATACACGACGGGTTTTGTATCACGAATTTTTGCGATTGTAAAGACTTCTGATGTCCAATTTTGTGTGTATCCTTTTGAAAATACTGCTTTATGTTTACTCAGGCGAACTTTATCTCTAATATTAAACTTTTTATTGTATTTTAAAATAGGTAGCCGTTTAAAACTGACATTTCCAGGAATACGTGATGCTATACTAGGAGTTGTTCCTATGGTGCTATGTTTTGTATTATTGTAATTTGTTATTAAATCTGCTATAATGTTTATCCAACTATATGATCAATTGGTAGTAAATTTTTTCCACATTTTTTCTTTAAGTGTTCTATTAAATCGTTCCACAACAGCCGCTTTCATTGTTCTTCATGAGCATCCGAAAATGTTTTTGAAATATTCTAAACCTCGGTCTGTTTGCAAGTTTTTTGGAAATCTATTGAACAAGACTTTTTCAAAATCTGATTTGACTTCTGTACTAGACNCTTTTTCAAAAGCCGACTTGACTTCTGTACTAGATTTATTTTTTAAAGGCACAGCCCACGCATATTTTGTATAAACATCGATTATCGTTAAAATAAATGTAAAATTTTTATTTTTTGTAGAGTATTTTTTCATATCTACTAAATCTGCTTGCCACAAGTCATCTTTGCCGTACGATACAACTCTTCTTCTAGGAAATATTTTTCTAGCCGGTCTATGTAATTCATTTGCTACTTTCTCTGCTACTTTACTCATGATATTACACCTAGTTCTCGTAACTCTTCTTCTATTGACAGTATTTCGTTTCCCACACCTGTATTTCCAGCACTTCTTGCAGCGTGTAAAAGTTCTAATCGAACTATGAGTTCATTAGGATCGTTCCAATATACGTATTCTTTAGGTCTTTTGTTTAAAATTTTGTAGGTTAACACACCACTACCTGTTTTCGGGGGAAACAAGTTACTAATGATGTATTTATATTTATAACCTACATTACATTTCAATTTTCCATCTCGACTTAAATGGGCATTAGTGTAAAATAGTAAAGTTTTATAATCCGATAAATCTATTTTATTGAATGAACCAACTGCAGGTTTACTTTTAAATATTAATTGATAAAGCCCATAACTTAGCGGTCGTGGTGCTAATGTCCCAACTTTAATAGTTGAAAAATCATCGGTTATTTTAACCGTAGTATTGCCCATGATAAAATCATTATCTTTCACAGACTTTAAACCGTAAACCGGGTCCATTTCTAACAACCACTTTGAAAAATCTCGCTGCATTTCGCTGGAGAACGAGCGTTTAGGCTTATCGATATTTACCGTCTTTATTTTTTCCTGAAATGTAGAAGGTTCTTTTTTTATTAAACTTTCCATCTTTATTTTNGGTTCATTTTTTATTGAACTTTCCATCTTTATTTCCTCTTCCTGATATGTAGAGGGTTCGCTAGAGCTCTGTATCATATCATTTTCTTCGGATGTTAAGGATGTAATTGGATCAGTTTTTACTATAGGACGAGCTTTTCCCAAGTGACGAAACAATGACTTTCTATGCTTTTGCTTTTCTTCCATTTCAACACGATTTTGATTAGCTATTTCTTGAAGAGGTGTCACCAGCGGTGACATATGTGTACGTACAAAATTTTCCGATTTCTCAACATTTCTATGAATTAACTGTATTTTATTTTTTATGTTTTGTTTAGAGCGTATGATTTCTTTCAACACTTTATCCGACATCTTGATATTAACTAAAAATTTAGCAGTACGAGTCGTCTTTTTATACTCGCGTCATTTTTATGAATATATCAAGCCCACATCGATATCGACCATTGTTGAGGTCATCATCTTTCACTATAGTAATGAAACTATATCGTCCTTTATTCCAACATTGTGAACACATTGCTTTGAATTCATTAAAACTCATATCACTGGAACAATGATCTTCATAAACGTGTTTGAGATTTGTTTCATCTTGTTTGTACAGTATAATCATATTAGTGTTATCTCTTATCAATTGTTTTGGAATTCTAGAATACGTCTGTGTTAGGTAAAAACTATCTACACCATTGCGTTGCCCTCGGCAAAAATAAGATGTCATATGAATTTGTTTTTTACAAATTACATCATCGAATTCAAACACAGAGTTTGCTTTTAATTTTTCGGGTGGAGGCACATCAACACTGCTGGTGAACATAGATAATTTTACCACATTATCCATCATATCACCTAGTAATTTATATTTATGCTGATCCGGGGTTTTCGTATAAACGTATAGGTGCTCGAACCGNTAAACGTATAGGTGCTCGAACCGCAAACCATTTTCCTCAGTTAATAATTTAAACATAACATTTGTTTTACCACAATTTGATGGTCCACATATTATGCATCTTATTGTGTTGGGTAACAGTGGTCCATGTTTAGACTCGATGGGGTCTGTAAGATCCACGACATTATCGACTGATAGAGTATGTTTCTGTTTCTCAAAAAACATGATTAGCGCACGTTATTACTCGTCAAACGAATGAGTATAAATGATGAAAAATTCAAAAAATCATTACTGTTATAAATTGAAAATGGTGCGAACAAGACGTGCGACGAAGCGAAGTGTAGGACGCGGTATTGTTAATTCAATAACTAATCGATTGTCCATTGAAATGCATGTTCCAGGGTATCAGTATTGCGGACCAGGCACAAAACTTAATAAAAGACTAGCACGTGGTGATCCTGGAATAAATAAACTCGATGCAGCGTGTCGTGAACATGATATTGCGTACGCAGGAACAAATGATTTATCAGAACGGCATTTGGCTGATTACGAGTTGGAAAAACGTGCTTGAGACCGCGTAAAAGCGAACGATAGTTCATGTGAAGAAAAAAACAAAAAAACGTTAATTCGAATAAACCAGTGAAAATCGGTAATGCATTATACTTGCATCCATATGCTGGGAAAAAGAAGGGTGGTGGATTCTATTTGAAACATCAAAAAAACTAGCATTGACACTACCCGAGCGACGTGCACTCAGCGATTAANTTGACACTACCCAAGCGACGTGCACTCAGCGATTTAGATATTATAAAATATGCTGAGTCATTCGGAATCAGTCATTTCCGCGGTGTCTTTTCGAGAGATAAGTTGCCTGTCAAGCCCAAAATATACGAGAGTGCAGTTGTTAATTTGGACATTGATCGTGGGAAAGGAACGCATTGGGTAGCATATTTTAAGAAAAGTAAGGACGTGGTGTATTTTGACCCTTTTGGAAGTTTACCTCCTCCGCTGGAACTTGAAAAATATTTCACCGGATTGCGCGTGAAATACAATTATAATCAGAAACAAAAATATAACACAAATGTTTGTGGTCAGCTGTGTTTAAAATTTTTAAAATCACAATGCTCAAATCGCTGACCCTTACGATGCATGACATAACGTCAGATGTCACATCAAGTTTTTTTCCACCAATAGAATTCACTGGAGCACCAGAAGTTGCGTTGTTGGGATTTTACGGATGTAATTCAATACCTAATATTGACAAGTCAAACAATACATTCACTTTGATAAATACAAATAACGAGCTTCTTGAAAATAACATAGAAATTAAAGTGCCTGAAGGCACTTATGAACTTGAAGACATTAGTAAATATCTAGAAGAACGTCTTCAGTCGTATCAAATCTCATTCATGTTGAAGGCTAATAAAAACACTTTAAAATCAGAATTAAATTTTGTAATTTTTTGATCAAAGTTATATGGAAAGTTCCACATGTAAGTGTGTATCCGGTTGTGTATCCGGTGTGTATGCGGTTAGGCATGCTCAAAATTCTGGAAACCTCAACACCGCTTCAAATAGCATTTCGAAGTTGGGATCTATATGAAAATCCTGGCCTACCAAATAGTAAAAGACAAGCCTGGACTGTGAAAACTTCATCGCAGACTGAGAGCCCGAGATTTGTTATTGTAGCTTTTCAAGTGGATAGAAAAAACAAAATAAACAAAGATAGTAGTATATTTGACCATTGTTCGGTATCATCTCTAAAAGTATACTTTAATTCGGAATCGTACTCCTATGATAACTTGCGAATGGACTTTTCAAATGATAAGTATGCTGTACCATATCACATGTACACTCAATTCCAAGAGGCGTTTTATGAAAAGGAGATGGCGTGTCTTATGCTGACAAAAACAGAATTCAAGACAACTGCACCACTCATTGTCATTGACTGTTCGAGGCAAAACGAAAAATTAAAAAATGCACCAGTAGATATTAGATTAGTATTTGAATCTGATGAAAATTTTCCTACCAACACTACAGCATATTGCTTAATTGTACATGACAAAATGTTTGAATATAATCCTATGACTAATGAAGTTTATAAAATATTATAATTTGTTTTTTTCAAAAAATAATGTAAAAGATTTTATTTATAAAATACTAATTATTACTTAAATATATATTTGACTATTACAAAAAAAAAATTAATAAATAAATGTTGTGTCCCGGTACCCACGCTAGTGTAACTTTGTTGAACCTCGATAGTGATTCTAAAGTTTCCCTGCATTCGAGGACCAGCTTTGAATTCACCTGATCGTTACAGAGTGCTTTCAAAGCCGCTTGACTATCACTTAAGATAGTTATCTTCCTATTTTTGTATACCAGCAGGTTCTGAGCCCCTACCA